GATTACAGAAGAATGTTCTGTTGAGTACCTAGCACACCATCCAGAAAAACAAGTATTTCAGTAACGTTTGACTTGATGAAGGGGCATGACCTGAAGGAACACTCCAGGTTCCTAAACTCTTGCATCCCACCCTTCTTATTCTTAGTAGAGAAGGTTGGTGAGAGGTTTACAATACATACGGCCGATCATACCCACGTGTATCGGTTCTCAGTCACCCTACTTGAGCTGAAGGGCTCAGTGTCCAATGAACTTTAGGGAGTGCCACCCACTATGGTAGATTACCCGGAGAGAAAGGTCTACAGTATTCCTTAAAAGCTCCAGAAAGGAGAGTTTTCGTTTTATTGTTTTTACTGTCTGCTGTTGGGGGACAGGGGACATGAAGAGGGAGAGAAGCAGTTCCTCCTAGAAGCAGCGTCTGAATAAAAGACACTCCAGCCGTAACCTGTTTGGCTCAGTGGATAGAGCGTCGGCCTGCGGACTGAGGGGGTCCCAGGTTCGATTCCAGTCACGGGCATGTACTTTGGTTGCGGGCGCATACCCAGTAGGGGGTGTGCAGGAGGCAGCTGATAGATGTTTCTCTCTCATCGATGTTTCTGGCTCTCTACCTCTCTCTCTTCCTCTCTGTAAAAAATCAAAAAAATATACTTTTTTTTTTTAAAAAGACACTCCATATCCCTTCCAGCTTATTCTAAATTATTATTTTTAAATATAAGCAGCTGTACACTTGTGCAGTCTAATTTTGTTTTTGTTTTTTTCTGAAACAGGTAAAGCTACAGAAAAATCTAAATGCTTTTCGGCTTTTAATTAATACTGCAGAAGTCCCAAGGCAACAAATTTCACTACAGCACATGAAATGTGAGATACTTTGCACATTATTTTTAAACATGTGATTTATTTAACAGCCTTTAGGAATTACAATTCTATACAGAACCTACCTTAAACTTGATTCTGGAATGAAACCTAAGCTAACTTGCTATATTACTATTCAACCACAAAAAGGAATTCTTTCAGCATATGGTATAGTCATACAAATACAATTATTGCAAAGCTAGAACTTGAAAGCTTTTTTCAAAATATATTTTTATTGTTTTCAGAGAGGAAGGGAGAGGGAGAAACAGAAACATCAATGATGAGAGAGAATCATCGATCGCCTGCCTCCTGCACGCCTCCTACTGGGGATCAAGCCAGCAACCCAGGCATGTGCTCTGACTGGGAATCAAACCATAACCTCCTGGTTCATAGGTCGACGCTCAACCACTGAACCACACCGGCAGGGCTCATCATTTCTATCTCTCCCTTTCCCTTCCTCTTTGAAATCAATAAAAATATATTTAATTTTTTAAAAAGCTTAGAGATGAGAAACATATTTAAGAAAAGTCTTATTTGCAAGTACCCAAAATATTACAGGCTAAATACACATATAACACGAGGCTACTAAATGAAAATCTGTTTCATATGTTTATGTGTTGCAAGGATAAGAATCTGTTTAAGTGGGGCAGGTGTGGGCTAGAAGGGGTCAATGGGGGGGAAAGGGAGCATATCTGTAATAATTTCAACAATAAAAATAAATCTTAAAAAAAAAAAAAAGAATCTCGGTTGAACCAATATTGTAAATTCAGGAGAAGCTCTTACCTCGCATCTGTTCAAAGCAAGGCACTGAACTAACTGCCTCATAAACAGTAATTCTGATCCTCACAACCACCCTAAGGGCGCAGTACTATAATTATCCCCATTTTACACATGATGAAACTGAGGGACGATGGATTAAAAAAAGAAAAAAAGCCTATGGCCACAGAGGTAGTAGCTGAGCGAATACTAAGGGGTAGTCTGGCTTCAAAGGTGGTACATGAGCCACCACACCACACTGCAGTCCCTCTGCTAAAACGCTCCTCTGACATTAGAAAGGCGACTAGAAGAACCATCCTGCTCAATTAAATATAGTTTCAAGAGCTACATAACCTTTTACAAATCCTGACGACCTGGTACGCAGTTGGGAGGAGGAAACAAAAGTGTTAAGAAAGCCCAAAGGATACCTGGACATAAAACCGATCTTCAAGGAGGAAATCACACAGCAACAACCAACACTTGTCTTGGTCCTATTTTTAGGAAAAACTCACAGCCAGCCAGCCAGGCAGAGCTATTTCCAGACAAAGAAATGTAAATCCCAGGAATAAAAACTTTAACCGCAAAAACCCTCCCCCCTTATTCATGGTCTTGTATTGGCTGGGCATTCGCATCACAAACTGACTTTATACCCAGGTAATACACTAAAATAGGACGCACATTCATGTAACCCACCTATGTCCCTCCTTTGATTGCAAATGTATAAATACAAATGTAACCCCTCCATTCTCCGGAGCATTATCTCAATTCGTCGAGGTTCTGCTTCCCGGCATATGTCGACAGTGTGGCTCAAATAAACTCACAAAAATTCAAAAATAAATAAATAATAAAATAGGACGCACATTGCTATTAACAACTTTCAAATTCCTAGACTCCTGGCAGGACAAAATATCCGGAACTGTCGAAACTCAAATGATCAATTCTGATAAATTCAGTTTGTCCCCAACAGGAAAGGTTAGGACACCCTCCCATGACACAAGCAGAGGGGGAGCCCGGGACAGAATAATTAATAATTATACTCTGCATCTGTGGCTGCACATAAACAGAAGCATCTGTGGCTGCACGTAAACAGAATGTGTCGTCACTCGGACCCACGGCCTGCCTCAAAGCTGTTTCTCTGCACAAATGAAGGCATGAGAAAACATTGGGAGCGGTGCAAGACAACTTCCACGGGGAAAC